AGGAAAGAAACAAAGGCTAGCCCTCCTTAAGGTAACAAAGAAAAGAAGCAACGGCTAGCCCTCCTCAAGGCAACAAAGGAAAGAAACAAAGGCTAGCCTGGCAGAACCTGGTTCGGAAGGAATTAGACGGGGAGTTAATTCTTCATTAAGGTAACAAAGGAAAGACGAGATTACAATTTCTTGTGCCATGGACCGGCATTTTGACGTGGTACTTCTAGCGTGACCTGCAAAAAAGGACCATGCAGTCCCACGGCCTGGCTTTGGGAAGGACGACAAACACCCACACCCTGGTTTAATTCTTTTCTAGCACGTCTTCAAGCCAGATTTCTGAAAAGAAACCTTTGAACACAACTAAAACATAAGTTAATTCCACACATCCCACACCATATCATACAATTAACTCCCGGTTTATATAATTCTTCTACCGAGGGACAACAGAAAATCAGCTACTAAAGGAGTTAACTCCTGATTTAGTTCTTTTGAACTCCTCTTTTCACACTCTTCCTGGGGGATCAGTTTGGCCTCGGTCCCCAGAGATCTTGGTCTCAAGGTAAGGTCCGGCTTTAGACCACAGATGACGTGCTGGATGTTTTGTATGTGAATGTCGGTCAAGGACTCCTGTTTCTCCATGTTTCTCCTGAGTCTCAGAAGTGGTTTCACTACAGCTCCTTCTTGCCAGGGGTCGCTCCCCATCAGCAACTCATTTAGAGCTGCCTTCACCGTGACGACTGGATTCCTTTCGGCGCTGTTCTTTTGAGCGACAGCCCAAGGGGGCTGCGCGGTCCAGCCGAACGCACTTTTAACTTTGCAACACGTTCCAGGGCCAGCTGAAGCTGAGATCTTTGGCTTGGCTTTCGGTCCATGTGAAAGGGACAGCCGTGCCCTTCCTGTGACCTGCAACGCTATCAATGCTGTAGCAGTAGCACAACGAATCCAACAGTTTCTGACGGAGGCACAGGCCTTCTGAAAAGAGGGTTGAAGGCAGAAGATGTTTTGACATGAAGGTCAAGATACCTCTTGAAGATTTGCCAATTCTGTGATTCTCCAGCTGTCAATGGCATGGTTTTTGTTTCGTTCTTTTTTCAGACACTTGTGCATCTTGCAGCCACTTCTGTGGTCCGGAGATCCTTTGCTTGGACTATCTGTACTTGGCTCCATGAACTTCAACTTTGGACTCCCTGCGGATCCCCTGCAGGTACCAAACCCGGTGGAAAAAACCAAGGAAGGAACCGCACGCAGCTTCGACCAACAGAATCGTTTGCACAGCAACAAGCTGACCCACAGAGTTCCCAAAGCAACAGGAAGAGCGAGCGAAAGGAGCCGGTCTTTTCATGCCCCGCCTGGATGGCACCGGAACGTCCTCTGGCAAAGGCCAGCTGTTGAGACTGTCGAGAAGTGGAAGCCCAGAGAAGTGGAAGCCGAAACGACCTTCGATCAACTCCTGGATGCCCCGAGTTGAAATCCACTCCCCCAAATTGGAAGTGACAAACCCTGCCCATTCACAGTTGCTGTGTTTCTTCTTTTTCAGATCCTTTTAATTTTTGGACTTGAGTTTCTTGAAATGTGGGAGCACCAGGTGCGGTGCAAGGCGCCAAGCATGGTGCGGAGCTCGCCTCCGCTCCGACCAGCAAGGCTAAGGCAGCGAGCAAGGCGGCGAACCGCTCCGCACGGTGGGGTGCCCATCTGGGGACCGACAAGTTGGCGACAGGGGCAGGGAACTTGGAGATTTTTGAGGGTGGAAGGAGAGAGTTGATGCTTTGTATGCTTTGTTGATGGAGGAAGATGATAGAATTAATGGGTTGAAAGTTGGGAGTAGTTCGGTGTTTGTTTTCTTCAAGGCTTTCGTGGTTTGAAGTGAGGAAGGGATCGAATTCGGCAAAATTGGAATGGGCGCACCTCAACAGAATTGGCTCGGGCTCGAATGGGCCATTCTCAAGGGTTCCGAATTCTTTTGTAGACCTCAAGCGAACGCACTTCCAAGAAGCTAGGGCAGCTAGGGGGAAATGACACCTGACCGAGCTGAGTGTATTGCTAGATTTGGGGAGCTGGTAAGACTTTGCAGAAAGAATCTTTCATCATCATATATAGTCAAGAAATCCCAAACGTGCACAGCTGAATGCTGCAGGACTTGCATGTTCCTTTCTCCATTGTGATCTATCGGTCCATCCACTGTTTTGCATGCAAAGGGTGGCCTCGCAGTTATGCTGAGGCCGCTACGCCCTCAGAAGGCCTGGCAGAACAAGTGGCGGAACAACAGCTCCAGTAGATTCTGAAGTCGTCAGATGCTTCCGGTGTAGCTGTTTTGTCAGCATTCGACCCCCACACTGGTCGATGACGTGGATTATTCAGTTGTTTGGCTTGAAAATGAGGACTGTCAAACCAGAGTGGAGTTTCTCCCCGAGTGCTGGGCTCTTCCTGAATTGCATGGAGCTTCCTTTCTGATCCAATGGACGGGCCCCGGCCATGCTGCAAGAGCAGAACTGAGAGTGCCTGTGACGTTCAAACGCCAGGAGATGCGTGCGGCCGAGGCAGGAGTGGCTGGGTGAGGGGAGGGACCTTGACCGGTGTAGCGATCCGTCCCGAACTGGAGGTTTGGGTCGCCCAGGTTGGAGGGTGGCACATATAGAGTAAAGCAGACCAAACACGCCAACGGCAAAGCAATACGGGGTGTTGAATGGGGTCTGTGACTAGTTTTCTTCGTTTTCCTTTCACCATTTTTCGAAGCAGTTCTGTTTGAGTCACTCTGAAAGGGCAGCTCAGATGAAAGCTCCTCCGCAGCTCAGATCCTGCCCAATCCCGGCAGGGCACCAAGGCAGTGCGACCAACGAAGGAGAGGCGAGGAAAACCGCCGTCGGCGACTGGTGAACGGGCCAAACCCGTTTGTGAACGACCCCATCGCCTGGAAGGATGGCAAGAGGTTCCTTGGTCTTATGCGGTGCTTATGGTGGTCTTTGACTTACTCTTCACTTGCCCTTCGGACCAATAAGCCTGGCTAAGAAGTTCATCGGCCAGGCGCGCTACTTCTGGTAGCTTCAGGTTTCGGAAGGACGTCAAGAGTCGCCCCGGCCCCGCCCTGCCTTCCCTGCTCCCAGCGCACCGGAGCTGAAGCACCGGGAGGCCTGAAGTCCGACTGCGGCGGAGCCTTCTCCGCGGCGCGGCCGAGCGTTCTCCGCAGGTCGGGGGGGTAGGTCGTCGGGGTCGTCGGGTCTACGGCGCCCAGATGGGTCACCCGGTCACCACCATTGCCTGTACAGACCAGTTGGTACCTGGGGGTTCTTCACCCTTGAGCCCTGGTGAGGTGGGGGGAGATCACTTGGGGTACCAGTTGAAGGGTCCAAGAGCCGAACATCCGAAGAGCTTTAGCAAAGCAGGGTTCCATGCTGAACGCTCAATGGCTGCTATGCGTTCTGATGGGTTCTTACTTTGCCGAAAAGGATGGTCGTTCAGGGGCTGATCGCCGAAAAGAGATCCTCTCGTTCCCGGTTCGAACCGACCGGTCCCCCGGTACCGGTTTTGCGTGGTGTCGCGTGAAAAACGGAACGGACCCGTGTCGCACCATCGGGTCGTCTTGAGACCAACGAATTCGATCCGTGACCTGAAGAGGTCTGTGCGACCTCCACTCCTGAGGAGGTGGAGAGGCCGGAGATGGGCACGGGCCGGGCACACGGGTCGGGCACACGTGTGCCACGCGCGATTTCACGACGATTTCTGCCTATTTTGAGGGCACTGGGCTTTTGAGCTTGCTGGTATGAAAGGATTCTTTTATGCTTTTTGCATGCATGTCTGTGGTTTGATTTCAGCAGTGTGCAAAGTTGTTGAGAGCTCTTCAAGTAGCTACGTCAGCACTTGCTGAACGACATGCTTTGCCGTATGTCTCACCAAAACACAACCTTTGCACTTGTAAAGTCGTAACTGAATTCATTGTAAGCCCCACTCATTTCGACGCCAGAGCTACACGGACTCGGAACACTTCAAAGCAAAACCATCTTTTGGTGCCTGATGCCCCCCCCCCGTTGCGAGGCTTAGGGATGTTTAGGGTATCTAAGAACCGAAACAGGGTGGTCTTAAGACCGTGAGAGAGAAAAGAAGTCTCCACCACTCCGAGGGGAAAACGGTTTCTTCTTTCTTCCAAAACCATGCGAAAATGACGTGACTGAAGAATCTCCATTTGGACGCCTTTGCGCTTTGGACGTCGCCGGGTGCCGGGTGCACCGCTGCACTCTACCGTGCGTTTTGGAGGTCTCCGCGAGTGGTGCTGACCGCACAGCTGGCCGCGAGGCAGCCCGTTCGGAGGAGTGGTATCCATTTGAGTACGGCTTTTGGTCAAGTGAAGACCCCCCAAACTCTCTCCAGGACCACCACGATCCCTCCCTGCCGTTCCTGCTTTGGTCGCCGCCGCGTTCATTCCTGCGCACGTCGTATTATGCCGTCGTTCGTTCGCGGGTGACGAACCGCTCTTCGGAGGCTTCTGAAGGAGCTCTTGGAGGCCTTTCAACGGAGCGCCTCCGTCGAGGCCACCGGTGCCGGGCGAAGCTTCAGAGAGAGCGGTGGTGGAAGGTCGGACGAGTGGCCGACACCGTGAAGGGTTAGTGCGACCGGTTGGTGAAGCAGTGGGTGCTTTGAAAGTGTGAAAAAGAAGCTGTGGCATCCTGTGGCTTGGATTTGGCTAGGATTTGGTAGGACATCTGAAATCTGGTAGGTTCTTTTTCAGTGGCCACAGGGGTGTTACTACCTGTGTCCATCGTGGATCACCTTCCACTCGAACGTGCTCGAAGTATCGAAGTATCGAGCCACAGGCTGCTGTATTCCGCAGGTCCAACATGAACTGATCAACTACTATAGGAATCCCCTTTTCATGCTTGCCTCCTGTGCCTTCTTCATGCATCTTCATGCTTTTGGTTCAGACCTCCAAGGGGGTTCTCCTTCACTTTCCAGGAGGCGAAAGCCAAGGTGGGCACATCTTGGGGCTTTCACAGCAGTGCCGAGATGACGCGGTGCATTGAGGCCGGTGCACGTGCATTGACGCCTTCTTCAGAGAAACATGGGGAGCCGTTTTGGAGGTTTTTGTGGCAGTTCCCCTCTCAGCCAGCATCCTTTTTCTTTTTTTGAAAGAAGGATGATCTCCATCCTCTGGATGTTTGCTGCTTCTGCATGTCTAGCTTCGTCTAATGATTAAGCGTTCTGGGAGAAGACTTCTGCGTGTCTGGCGGGTTCTCAGCCAGCACAGCTTTTGGGGGGGCAGCGAAGACAGACAGCTCGGAAAAGAGTCCAAGCTCGGTCGGGTGCTCTCAGATTCTTATGTTAGTAACCCATGAGGGGGAATCATAGGGATTCCTATGACTATTGACTGTTGACTGTCCGCATGAGTCCACTCACAAGTGAAACTCGGGCCGGGGCTCCGCACAACGTTAAGTTGCGAGGGATTCCTATGCCTATCTATACAGTCAACAGCTGTTCAGGGGACTTCCTTCTGTCAGGCGCAGGCGAATGCATCGCTGAAGCCCTGAGCTGATGTGGGCAGGGCGGGCGCCATGTGTCTCGACGAAAGAGGATTCTCAAAAAGGACTGGTCGAGAATCGCTTTGTTGCAGTTTAATATCTCAGAACGTGAAGCGCCTTGAAAAAATAGAGCACACCAGGAATAGGTTCTCAGAACCACCCTGCTAATGCTGCGTTCTTTTCAGCCTCAGATGTGAACAAGAATGCCCACATCATTCGTAGAAATTCAATCCGTAGTTCCAAGTCGTTTCACCTGCGCACAAGACGCACCTGATAAGTAAGTCAAAATCAAAGGCAGATGAACAGGGTGGAGTGTCCTGGTAGCCGTCATCGTGCAGACTTTATTGGTGATTCGGCCTTGACCTCATGCGACTGAATGAGACGCAGATCAAATCGCGACCGGTCATGCAAATTGAATCGGCTTACTTCGTCCCATGATGTCTCCCCATTTCTTGTACACATCTAGGGAGAGCTGTCCCGCTTTGTACATAACTTGTGGGGTCCTTTCGATGTGGAAAAAGGTTAAACAGATACATGTGGGGCACCGACCGGTCCTCGTCCGACCGATCCTCTGTGGCTCTGTGGCTCACCGGAAAAGCATGTCCGTGCCTGATGCAATTCGGTCCATCAAGACATGCGCGCGCGAGAAGAATTGGCAAGGAGCCTTGCTGCTGTTGAGAGAAGGGAAGGGAAGGTCACCAAGCGAGAAGCTCATCCTCTACACTGCGGCCATCAGTGCATGTGAGCCGCTTGGAGAGGTCGTTCGAGAGGTTTTGGAAAGAATACGTATATATTATACTATATATCGTTTTTGAAGACTCCTTTGGCTTTTAGTAAGTCATGAACTTTTGCCAAACCAATATTCCCCAATAGCCATGCTATGGGGTCTTGCAAAACTAATAGGCGGACGGGCGCCGTCGGGTCACCGTCAGAGCTGGTGGGCGGATGGTGTCCCGGTCATGTTTTGATGGTGTCCCGATCATGTGATGGTGGC